TTATAGGAGAATATGAAAATGCACTTAAAGATTTTACAGAATTATTAGAAATAGAACCAAATAATATATTTGCACTTAGATATCGGATTGAAATTTATAATATAATGAAAAGAAGTAAAGAGTCACTCGCAGATTTAAATAAAATATTCGAAATTAAACCAGATGACGCATGGGCATTAAAAGCTAAAGAAGTTTCAAATGAGTGAGTACAGAGCTATTCAATATCATAAGTACTAACTATTGAATACAATAATAATTTCTAAGAAAATACACTGTATTCATTAATTTAGCTTGTATGTATAAAGTTCATTTAAAAATCATGATTCTTTAAAACTGTTTAATGACTTCTCAATTTCCCATCAATAACATAATTTTACTTTATTAATCGATCTCGTATAGTGAGTAAGTAGAAAAAGTCCATTTGTAATTTTTAAAATTTAATAAGAATTAACTGTTAACTTATATTTTTAATTATTACATTTTTACATCTCAGTGAGTAGGTATAAAGTTCATGATGATTATAGATTTTTTTAAAAAAAATATTATTGTAATTCCTAATTGAATACTATTTGTAGTATGTAAGTATAAAGTTGGTTTAAAAATCTTTCTATTTGAAGATTTATCGCAAAACAATTATAATATTTAATCGACTAAACATAATCACTTAGTTTGTGAGTATAAAAGGTTCATTTTTTAATTTCATATATATAATATTTGACATTTTTTTTTAATAATTAACATTCTATCAAATAAATTAGCGAGTAAGTATAAATTTATTTTCTATCAAAATTTGATGCTAAATATTACTTATCTGATTTAATTACATGCTATTATATTAGTGAGTAAGTATAAATGTATTTATAATAATTCATAAATGGAGTTTATATGATTATTTATCATTAATTACTTTCTAATGAATAACAGCCTGTAAGAATAAAATTTATAATTTTGAAATCGCTAAATAATAATAACATCCTAATAGTTTACATGCTATTTTTGTAGTCTGTAAGTATAATTTCTTACAATGCTTTCAAAACTACATTTCACAAGTATTGATACTAAATAATATATTATTAATTAATAATATGATAGTGAGTGAGTCTATTTAAATAATTTTTAAAATCATATTTTATAAGAATTCATCACTAAAACTAATGTTTTTTCCTATACAATATATAGCGTGTAAATATAATGTTATTAATAACAAATTTCAATAACTCCTGTTTTTTAATAATTAATAATACTTTTTTAATTCTAAAAATAATACGTACGCTAGTGAGTAAGTATAAATTGATAAATAAAAATTTCAAATTAACTTTCATCAATAGTAATAATAATATTTTGCACATTATATACTAGTGAGTGAGTATATATAATTTTAAAAATTAAAATCAAATTTTATAAGAATTTAGGTTATACAATTAATTTTTTTATTGATTTTCATAATTTAACTGGGTTACTTTTTGTTTATATTTTGACAAAATTTTATTATAATATAAAAAAAAAAAATTGTAGATTATTTGTAATACTAATTTTAATAAAACCCAAGATAAAATTAATTGTATGGCCTTATAATTTATAATATAATATTTTTCTAATTACTCAATCTATCATGTAGTATGTAAGTATAGCATTGATTTATAACGATTATCATGTTTATAAGTTGCTACTGAATAATACATTTCTGATAAATCATACATTAGCTAGTAAGTATATTGTTATTATCTGTGATGCTCTAATTGTATGAGACTTTTTATTAATTTATACTTATAAAATTACTAGCGAGTAAGTATATATTTATATATTATAATTATAAATTGTACCTAGAAAGATTCACTAAACAAAATATTACAAATATCGTACTAGTTAGTAAATATAAAATTTACGCAACATCATATTTTTCAATTTTTACTGCTAAAATGATACTTTCTAATTGACTAATAACAAATTATTATATAGCCTGTAAGTGTAATAAACTTTACTTTTAAAATTTTTTTTAATATTATTGTTCAATAATAACTCTTTTAATTATGTATCTCGTAGTCTGTGAGTACAGATTTTCATTTATATTGTGCAAAATTTCTAAAGATCAAATTTGCTCTAATTACCTTTCAAATAAATCACAATAACTAGCTTGTGAGTATAAATTTAATTATAATATTGTTTATAAAGATCTGTAACAATAATTTTTAATAACTATATATGTAATAGTGAGTAAGTATAAAGCTTAATTATAAATCATATTAATCGTATTTTATAAGAATTATTACTAAATAACGTTACCAAATATCAGCGTGTGAGTATACAATTAATTTGCAATATATGTAATAATTTTTAAAAATTTTAAATAATATTTTTTTTGAAAAAAATTAAAATAGTTAGTAAGTATTATAATTTAAAATTATACTTACAAATATTTAAATAAAAATATTTTCTAAAAAATATATTATTAGTGCGTAAGTATAAAACTCATTCTATGACATATACAAAATTATATTTTACAATTATTTATTATTTTATAATCTTTTCAAACAATCATAATAGCGAGTAAGTATAAACTTTACTTATAATACAGTAATTTACAAAATCGCATTGACTACAATATTCTGATTATATACTAGCTCGTGAGTATAAAGTTCATTTTAAAATTGTTAAAACCTTACAAAATAATAGTGACATTTTCATAATGGTTCACAACTTTTAGAAGGTGTCCAGAATGTGGTAAAGATAATTGTGTGTACTGCAATGATTGCAACAGTAAACATTGGGAAGAGGATTTTGGCAACTGGTCAAGTGGTGACTCTAACATTGATAAAATAATTAAGGATACACAACTCAAAGCAGAAAAAAATTACAAAATAATTGAATGGATTGAATTTTCAAATTTAAAAAATATTGAGTATATTGGTGAGGGCGGATTTGCAAAAGTCTATAAAGCTATTTGGAAAGATGGCCCAATTGAAAATTACGAACCTTGGGATGTCGAAAATACGAGATGGAAACGTAAAGCTGACACTATGGTAGCAGTAAAGAAATTAAGAGTGGAAATTGGGATGACGAGTTTGGAGCTTTTTCAAGAGGTAATCTATTTAGATGGAACAATTTTTAAACCAATCAAATTTCCAATGACTCAGACAAAATTTTTTTTAAATATTGTAGATTAAATGCAATCTGGAGCATAACTCTTTATTTATTAGCAGAGTTTATGGCGTAACAAAAGATCCATCAACAAAAGAATATGCAATCGTTATGCAATTTCAAAAAAATGGTGATATACGACAGTTAATGCAAAAAAATCATCAGCAATTAAATTGGATAAAATGTATTAATATTCTCAGAACAATTTGCAACGGATTATCAGCAATTCATGAGCAGAAATATTTACATAAAGATTTTCATAGTGGAAATATTTTGATCAATGAGAATTATAAAACAAATATTGCTGATTTTGGACAATGTCGAGCTACAAAGGAAAGCCAGGACCAAGAAAATGTGATTGGTGTCCTACCATTTGTAGCACCAGAAGTATTGTTGGGTAATCCATTTACCGAAAAAGCAGATATTTATGGATTTGGGATCATAATGTGGGAATTTATTTCGGGTGAACAACCATTTGCTAATAAAGCGCACGGATTTGATCTAGCTCTTGGAATATGTAATCAACTGAAACCACTGCGTCCACCAATTCCAAGTTATACCCCAAAACAATACAAAGAAGTAATGAAGAAATGCTGGAAACATAATCCAGATGATCGTCCAACTGCAAAGGAGTTATCCCAACTATTTTTTGATTGGTATAAAATTTTAAAGGGCGAATATCCAAAATATAATCCAAATTTATTAAAATCAGATATTGAAGAAGAATTCAATACAAGCAAAGAAAAAGAATGGAAAGTACGATTAGCTAAATTAGCCGAAGTTTTATCGCCTTCAAAAGAAATAAGTCAACAATACACCAGCAGACGTCTCGATTATTCCAAGATGCTTTCACAAAGACTACAGGAATTATATAAGAGCGAAAGTAAGTAATTCTAATTAGTAAACAAATCCAACTTGAAAATTTACTATTGCGTTTTTTATTTTTTTCTACAGAAATATATGAAGTAGATACATGTGAAGAAGATAACTATGATGACAGCAAACTGATAGATCTTGTAATACCATAAAATGTGAAGTAGAGACTTCAAAACTAATCAAAATTCAAAATAATGAATTATATATATATTATATACATACTGTATCTATAATAATCTTAAATTAGTTGATAAAAAATATATTATATCATACCATAAGAAGTACCTGTGTATAATATCTAACTAATTTGATCGGTTAAATCTGATGGCCATATTATATTATTTTATAATCAGATATAGTCTTTCAAAATTTCAAAATCTTGTACATGAAAACACACTTGTATCCTAATTATTTCTAATCAATAAAAAACGTAGCTTCTAAATTATGTATTCTTGTCGTGATACATTAAAGATAAAAAAAAAATCAAACCATGTAAAAGCATTATAGAACGTCGCCTAATTCATCAATTCTGTATTATTCTATAATGAATATTAAAAGAATCTTGCATGATATTATTCGTGGAGTTAATTGTCTTTTTTTTTTTAATCTAGTCCTAAGTTATTATTTAAATGTAATTTCTTCGAGAAGTTAGTATTGACGCATAGATCCAGCATTCTTTTTTATACGTTAACCTTTGCGAATAGGTTGTTAATGGAGTGACCAGGATGGTATAATGCTTACTCTGCCATATCCTCTTCTTTCTATCTTTATTTATACTCTCTTTTACCTCTCTATACCTTTTTTTACTCTCTAGAGTGGCTCTTAAAGCACACTACACTGGGCTGATCAGTGTTGGCATTTGACAATTGGACAATTGGACTAATGAATATCATTGGTTGGACCAATTGTTCTAGTCCAATTTCCCAATTAATTATCTAAAATAATTGGTTAATCCAATTGTCCAGTTGTCCAATTACCAATACTGCTCCAGATTAAACTTTATTACTTACTTCGGAGAGTCTGCTCCCTAGATTAACTTACCGTAAAACTCTGAAAATAAGCACCACTTTTTTAATTAATGGAGGTGCTTATACACTAGCTATTTGAAAACAGACAACACGATTGATCAATCTTGTGATCACTGGATAACGCAATTTAAAGCTTATTTGATGGTGCTTATTTAAGGAACATAAAGTTTTATTATAGGGGTGCTTATTTACCGTAGGTGCTTATTTTGAGTTTTACGGTATGTTATACAGGATTTACTTATTTTTCACTGTGATACATATCACATGATAGTCATCATAATTTAATTAATCATTGTTTTATCACATTTCAAGCGATATTATATTAATCGTATTAATAATGATATTAAAA